CAAAGGAAGAAAAGATGTGGCCAGGTCCTTGGGGTACTGATCTAGGCAGAGTGATACAAGACAAAGTAAAAGAGAAAGGCGGTGCCAAAACATGCAGTGCCAGGCACACCTGGGTAAGTAATATAGATTCTATTCTGAATGTGATGGGAGGTTTTGAACCAAAGGGTGACATAATCTGGTTTACATTTAAAAGCTTTCGTTATTATGCATTATTATCATATTTAGCATATTAGCATATTTAGGATACTTTATGCACTTATTTTTTTTTTTTTTTTATGCACTTATTTTTGAAGCTGAGATGGAGGGGGCATTTCCTTCTCATCTGATGCTGCTGATAAAGCACAGAACTAACTGGGCACACATCCAAGACTATATGTTAATAAAGCACAGTAAGTGCGATTTGTAAAGTAAAATCTTCCAGGAACTTCCAGGACTTGGACAGCTGGTCAACAGTTGGAGTATGCAGTAGTTATGGGAAAGAACTCAACCTTTACCCGAACTAAATCACCAAATTAGCAGAAACTTTGAAAAATTTCCATATTGTCAACTCAGCCTATTCTATCTGCGCCTGCTCTTCCAAGTTAAACAAAGTCTTACTTTGCCACACACTACACATTAATTTGTTAAATTTTACAATATCATAGAGATTTGATAGAAAAGCTTTTAAAAACATGATTTTTGTCACTATGGCTTGCCAAACATCCATTAAATATTCCCTAAAAGTTAAGGGTTAAGGTTCAGCATTTTGTGGCAGGTGTGGAAAGAAAATGTAATCTTAGAAGCTACACATTGTAGTATACTGTTAACTCAATTTTAAAAAGTCAAGGTCCAAAAACCTCATCTGCAAATATTTAAATTATCTGCAAAAACTTTAACTTTGTTCCTTAAAAAATATATACTAGGATGTGAAAAAGCAGATTACAGAAAAGCATATGTGGTATATCCTTTTTGATAGAACACATAAATGCAAAACAGAAGTCTGGAAGGATATAAGCCACAGCTGATATTTTGGTGACCTTTTTGGATGGCCAGAATACTGATGACTTATTCTTTTATCTGCTTTAATCAACATTTTCTCCAGTTACCACAAATTATTTCATGGTAGCAAAAATATTGTTATAGGTTAGCATAAAAGGTAAAAAAGAAACTTCAAGAACACAATTTCACTTGCCTAAATTAGCAGGATTCCAACTGTAATACTAAGAAAAAAGATCTCAACTGTACACACAGGAGAAAGGAATTGTAAAGAGGAGGTCCATGTCGTAGCACAATAAAGACATACCCTGTAAGGGAGTAGTCTATAAATTCCCAAGAACTCTACCTATATTAGATATAAGGAACAGCAAATAACCTATACTTTTGTTTTTCTTTTCTGTTTACCAAAGCAACGTCTCATAAAGTAATGAGTTTTCTGAGAAATACGTCCTTTTAAAAAATCAAGTTGGGGCCTCCCTGGTAGCACAAGGAGTTGAGACTCAACCTATGAAGCTATCCACAGCCACTGAAGCCCGAGTTCAATTCTCGGTCAGGGAGCTACCCACATGGGGTGGCAGATCTCTCCTGACTGCCCACTGCTCCCCTCAGCAGTGTATTTGAGTCAGTCTGCCTGTTCTACTCCTCACTCTATCTCTGGTGAATCCTCTCCCCCCTCCACCTCTGGCCTGTACCCCAGTTCTTGTATGCATAAATAAATAAATCTTTAAAAAAAAATAAAAAATCAAATTAGGACAAGAAGAAAATTTGGCCTCTGGTCTCCTTCATGCGATGAAGGGGCTTGGGGGCGGGGGGTGCAGAGGGTAGGGCATGGCTCACAGCAGCCTAGAGGAATCTGCGTGGCCAGTCACCTGAAGTGGAAGGAAACACAAGCTTTCTGCAACCTCCACAGAACTGGGCAGCGAGAATGCCGCCTAAGCATCTCAGGACTAAAACACCCGACAGGGCTTACACCGTCCAAATTACTGTGGGTATAGCTGCCAAGAGATTCCCACACTAACCCACAAAAACTGGAAGGTCTTTACCATGCACACAGGTACCGCCTGCGTAAAGCTCATCCGACTCTCTAGATGTAAAACCAAGCGATTAAAGCTTATTTCAGGCCATATCTTCGCTGGTGCAAACTGGGACTGCTGAAAACATTCTCCGGACTCTCTACAGCCAGCAAACATCATTTGGCTAAAATCCTAACACCCAGAAACAGTCACGGTGGAAAACTTTGGCTTTAAACCGCAACACCGAACTTCAGCACTCCGGGAACCAGGTTATCGCACATTATCTTTCCCAGGTGCCACCTCCTCGCTGTCAGCTCAGGTTCCGCTCACTGAACGAGCAGAAAAAGGGAATCCTCCGAATTCGCCACACCACACGGGCGAGAAGGCTCCCGCTTTCTGGGTGGCAGCTCCCCCGCCTGATCAATTACAACAAAGGGCGCATCTTAGCGACTCATCAAAGCCAGAAGGGGTTCCGAAATCGAGGTACAGACAGAATATCGCGTGGCTCTCGGGATTTATGGGGTTTTCCTTCCCGTACTCCATTCTACGCCTCCCCCCGAGTTGACGGTCCAGCCCTAAAAATAACCCCCGCCGTGGCTACCGTCCCCTCTTCCTGCCCGGCCCGACTCCGGGGTCCTGCGGAGGAAGCCGGGGGACGCGGGCCGGGCAGCGGCGGGGTCCCCCGGGGCAGCCGCCACCCCAGCCGCGAAGCCCCGCGCCCGAGCGGCCGGGGCGCAGCCACCGCAGCCCCCCGAGCCGGGAGCGCCCGGGGAGCCGGCGTGCAGGGAGGGTGGGCCGGCCGGCGGCGAGGGGGACACTCACCCGCCCAGACCACAACCGACGGGGCGGGGAGGACGGGGGCCGGGACCCGGGCTGGACCGGGAGACCTCCCGGAGCTTCCGGAACGCTGCGGCTGCTGGAGACGCCGCCGTCGCCGCTGCTCCTGGTCGCCGGCGTCCTCCCCTCCTCTGTTTTGATTCGATTGACCACGTCACTCTGAGCCACGAGACCCGGATCTGCCGGCTCCCGCGGGCGGCGGCGCAACAGATTGCAGCGGCTCGGGACCGCCCCCCGCCCCCCCCCGCCCCCCCCCCCCCTCCCCCCCCCCCCCCCTCCGGCCCGCCTGCCGAGCATGCGCACACCTCGCGCCTGCGCAGTGCGCGCGGGGAGGCGGGGCCGGCTGCGACGCCACGGGCGCTCGCGTCCCGCGATTCGTGGGAGCGCGGGGCGCGGGGTTGTAGTTCCGGCTGGGAGGGGTGGGGCCGGCGCTGTGGAGCCGGGAGGGCGAGGCCCGCGTCTCCCGAGCGGGTCGGCGCCGTGTCCCGCGGCCGGTGTCGCCTACTGTGCGCCTTTCCCAGTCGCATTTTTTTGTAAAAATCGGGGATAGAGGGAGTGGAGGGCGCGAGTGGGTGTCAGCCGCTACCCCTGTGGACAGTGTGGTTTCGATGACTCAAATCCAGGGGGGAACTGGAGCTCGGGAATTTGGTCTCCGGTACAAGAGTTTGTCCAAAGTGGCGGGCTTTGACATTTTTGCCCCCGAAAAAATGGCTGAAATTAAGTTCAAGCGAAGTATTAAAGGGACACTCGCCAGAAGATTGCGCAGCGGTGGGGACAGGAAAGGGAAATCTGTGAAGCAACCCGCCCAGCCCTTTGTGGCTTTGACCTTAGGGACCGGAGTGACGATACTATTTGTGGGGTTGGAAAAATTGGTGCTTCTGTCCTCCCATTCTGGCCTTCTAATTATCCCTCTAAACTATTGAAGCTCCGGGGAATTTGCCAATTTGACAAGATATACGGTTGCTCTATTATGTCCCCGAATTGACCAGTTTTAAGTCAGATGGGGCTGGTGGGAAAATAAAAGTGGATCCCAAACAAGGATTTCACAAAAGGCGCCTCATTGCCTGTCCCGCGTGGGAGGTGAAAGTTAGGTGTAAAATTTTGTCTTCCTTAGCTATTTGGTTAATCACCTTAACAAATTAATAAAATCTGCAATGATTTTTATTTCATTGTATAAATTTATTTTTTGATTATTTCATTATATACAATTTATTTCATTATATGCAAGTCATTATATACAATTTTGTTTATTTCATTATATAAAATTATTTTTATACATATATACATTTGTTTTACATCCTTGGTAACTTCTTTTGACCGAACAGGATTCCTCCCTTAAATTGTGGTCACCGTAGCTCTCGACCACCAAAGCACCCATCGTCCTCCCATCATAGGTTATTGTGCTCCACCCTCCCAACCCACAACTTTTTAAAGTGGCCATTAAACACAGGTAAAGGTTTCTAGAAAATGAAGATTTCTCTTAAATCTCAAAATGTTTCCTATTTAACAAAGATTGCCAGTAGATAGAAGTCAAACTTGGCCCTTAATCTGCAAATATGAACTCTATCCCAACTTTAATGAACTTGAGGCAGACTCTCCTTTACTAACAGAAGTTCATGGGCTGACCGTGTAGCACAGGGTCTTTTAACATGTGGAATGTTAAATTATGGAACAGAAAGTCTTGTATGCTTGAGTGCACCCATGTGTACATATGTATTTGAGAACACAGCTGTGTTTTAAGAGAACAGTATGGTACAACACTGGAATTGTACAAGTTGTTGCAGAATTATCATTACTTGTTTTATAAAGTAAATTACAGGAAAATCAAGGTGTTAAAATACTTGATAACCAGCTTACAAGATAACTACCCCCCACCTCCCCAACTCCCACCTCTTAGTTCTCACCTTTGGAGATGCAGTTTTCTCCAGTCTTTTGAATCAAGGCTGCTCTGAACTGTAGAATATAGCTGAAGGTGTGTGACTTCTAAGACTAGGTCATAAAGGCACAGATTGCAGCTTTCCGCCTCATTCTTTAGGATTTGCTTGCTCTGAGGGAAGGCAGTCTCCATCCCACCCCTCTCAAGCAGCCTTTTGAAGAGGCCTATGTGGAGAACACAAAACCTCCTCCACCAACAAACAGCCAGGACCAACTTGCCAGCCATGTAAATGAACTTACCTTGGTTAGGCTGATCCTGCAACCCAATCAAGAATTGGATGACTGCATCCCTGTCCAATATCTGCTTGCAAACTCAGGAGAGATAGAAAGGTTTCAGGAACTCTGTACAAAAACCTGGAAAGGGGTAGGGAGAACTAAATTATTTTCTTTTTACCTCATATTTTGCTTTAAATTTTGCAAATATTTCAGCAGCAGTTCTTGTCCCAAGACTGCCAGCTCATATCTATGTAGCATCTCTTTCAACAAACCTGTCCTTCCAAAAGCAGCAGTTGCAGCTCTCTGCCCACCTGTGTCTATGCAGGTGCCTTCCCCACCCCCACCCCCCTTTCTCTTTTTCCTAATAAACCTGTCCTGAACAACAAAAAAAAATTTCAGCAACTGAACTTGTATTCTCAACTTATGAAGCATTTTTATGTTTTTAACTATTAGTATTTAGGAGTATTTGTTTTCTTAAAATTAATTTCATTCATTCCAAACAATACCTGAAATTGAATTTTTATCTCAAACTAAAGGTTTTGCACTGAAACAGCTTATAAACTGTTAAAATTTCTGAGATGCTTTGAAAGTTTAAAAAAGTTCATGTTTTGGTTTTAGCAATTTGTATTAAATGTGTAGGAAAGAACTCGACTTTTCACCATACTGCTTCAAATACTTTTTTTTTAAATAGAGGCATTTTTATTTATTTATTTGTTTGTTTGTTTGTTTGTTTTGTTTATACATGCACTGGGTACAGTCAGAAGCGCGGGAGGGTGAGAGAATTCACCAGAGCCAGAGAGGGGAGCAGAGCAGGCAGAAGGATCAAAGTACACTGCTGAGGGGAGCAGCGGGCGGCAGGAGAGGTCTGCGCGCCATGTGGGACCCTCACCCGGTGGCCATGGAGTAGCAGGGGATCGAACCGGCGCTGCAGAGGCTGCAGGCAGCTTCGCAACCCAGCGCTCAACAGCTGTGCCACCTGGAAGGCCTGGGAAGACAACAGTTTTATGTAAAATGTGTGGAGAAGTAAGTGTAATAGGTGCATGGTTATCATCAGCCCTCAACATTTCTTCCTTTTAGAAGATATTTCATCTTTCTGGAGTGTGTTAGAACACATACACACACACACACACACACACACACACACACACGAGCAACAAGATTAGGGACTGAGTTTTAGTATTCATTAAGCTATGTCAATTTTTATTCCCCCATCTCTACCTAAACCCTCACAAATGTATTTCAGACTCTCTCTTAAATTTAAAAGGTATCACCTTCTGCCATCAGAATATTCTATCTTTAATGTGATTTTAGGAATGTAAAGGAACCCAAGTATTGCAGGAGGATTTTAAGTATCCTTTTCTTATAGTGGGAGATTAAAATATATGTAAACAAGTTACTTTTCTGAAATGGGTTTTAATTAGATCAGCTCCAATTACATAGCCTTGGCTCTGGAAAGAGTTCGTGCACCTTGAGGAGGAAATGTAAGTGGAAAGAAGAGAATATCAGGGATGCCTTGGAAGACTCCTATATATTCATGACAGCCCAAGCATTTAATTAAAAGGCATAATATATATGAAAATGCTCTGTAAACAGTAATCAGCTAGACTTTAAAAAACCCATTTCTGAACAATTTGTAAAAGTTGCTGTATACACATATTTACAAGCCTCTACCACAAATGATGCACTTATGCTTCTAATTATATGAAACAGAGTTTGAAAGTCTGAGAGCAACTCATATCATTGCTATGTCAAGGATTGTTTCATTTTAAGTGAAATGGGATCCTGTTTTTGAACCCACAACTAAGAATATGTAGTACAAAGACTACCCTCCCCCTAACCAGTTCTGTGTGTGAAGCATGAGCTTTTGGAATCTATCCATTCCCTGTATAGCCTAGTGAGAGGTGCCCATTAAGAAAATGAGCACTTCTACCAACATTTTCTTCTCTTTCATAAAAGGGGAAGACAAGAAATTGAAAACTATCTTTTTGGGAGAATGCAGTGGCTGTTTTCCTTATGTTGTGAAGGAAAGTAGGGAATTTTCTCCTTCCCCAAAACTAGGAAGCGAGTAATCAAAAGAATCATAAAGTAAAAGTAACTGAACCATTATCCCCTTCACTAAGTTGTGAATTGATGATTGCCTTAATTCTAAAAATTGCCACGCCATTTTCCTGAGGCTGCTAGTGTATAGAAAAAGAAACAAGAGAGAGTGGGCAAAGCTGAGAGAGGAAGGTGTCAGCTGAGTAGTGGGGCAGTCTGCATACAAGAACTGGGGTACAGGCCAGAGGTGCGAGGGGCAAGAGGATTCACCAGAAACAGAGTGGGGAGCAGAACAGGCAGACTGACCAAAATTCACTGCTGAGGGGAACAGCAGGCGAGACAGGAGAGGTCTGTCACGCCATGTGGGTAGCTCATTGGCAGAGTCTGTGGATAGCTTTACAGTGCTGTGCTTAACCACTTGCGCCACCAGGGAGGCCCCTCTGCCTTTTGGAATAATAAATTTCCTAAGCATCACTTGGTTGAGTGTGGTACAGCAGGGATCTAGATGCATGATCTAGATACATCACTCTATCCACCTCCTGCTACCCCACCTCTCATACACACATGCACATGCAGTGATGCCAACTATATATTGTCTCCAGGTAAAGCAGTCAAGAGAGAATTCTGGAGTTTCTAAATCCCAATTCCAAATTGGAGAGGGGGGGAGAAGGGCAATTGGACCCACTTTGTCTACTCCTGGTCTAGTTGACTGGATGTGAAGGAGACTATCATGTGTGAGAAAACTCTTGGAGAAGAAGCACTACAAGCTCATTTAAAACAGTGGGAAATAGGACCTCCCCGGTGGCGCAGCAGTTGAGCACTGGGTTGCGAAGCTGCCCGCAGCCTCTGCAGTGCCGGTTCGATCCCATGCTGCTCCCCGGCCACCGGAGGAGGGTCCCACATGGCGCGCAGACCTCTCCTGCCGCCCACTGCTCCCCTCAGCAGTGTACTTCAGTTCTTCTGGCTGTTCTGCTCCCTGCTCTGGCTCTGGTGAATTCTCTCACCCTCCCGCGCTTCTGACTGTACCCAGTGCTTGTATAAATAAATAAATAAATAAATAAATAAATAAATAAATAAATAAATAAATAAATCTTAAAAAACAAACAAACAAAGTGGGAAGTATCATTGAGCACTATTCACAATATACAAGATAAGGAAGCAACCCAAGTACTCATCAACAGATAGTAGCTAAAGAAAAGGTGGCATATATACACAATGGAATACTACTTAGGCTTTGGCTGCATCCATGCAACACGGATAGATCTGAGGAGATTATGCTAATGAAATAAATCAGATGGAGAAAATACAAATACCATATGATTTCACTCATATGGAATATAAAGAAAAAAGCAAATGAACAAAAGTAACAAACCCTTAGAATGACAACAGAATGGTGGTTACCAAAGGGAAAATGAGGGGCATGGTAGAGGGGGTTGATTGGTTGCTGGTGGATGGTGATTGGCCATGTGGTGGGGGTGGTGTAATAAATACAGTTGATGAGGTGAGAAACTATATTCCTGCAACCTATATAGTGTGTAAACTAATGTTATTTAATTTTAAAAAGGGTGGGGGGACAAAGTGGTACATACATATAATGGAATTATAATCCCAAAAAAAGCTACCAAAAAAAGATGAGCTCTTGCCATTTATGACAACATGGATAGAATGAAGGATTATGCTAAGTAAAATAAGTCAGAAGGAGAAAGACAAATATTGATTGAACTCAGTCATATGTGGATATAAAGAACAAAGGAAAGGATATAAAGAACAAAATCAGACCTTTGTATAAAGACTACAGAACTGAGGTTGCCAGAGGAGGAGGTGAACAGGAGCAAATGTTGGAAGGGATCCAAAGGACTGTGGTGGTGAGTTATTGATACTTTGATGGTAAGTATGGTGTTCTAACATAGACCTAAAAGGTGTGATCCTATGACTCTAATGTACAGTGTTGTAAACCAATGTTACCTAAATAGATAACTAAATAAAGCAGTGGGCATCAAAATCATGAACCAGACCCACTGAAGACTTGGTACATTCCCTACTCAAACCTTCCATTTTCAAGTAAAACTCTAAATGAACAAACAGAAAAAAGTACTCAATTGAAATAAATGTAATTTAAAGTTAATCATTATGTACCTGACTTCCAGGAAAAGTGTTTTTTTGGAGCATGAAGAAGGTACAAAATTTACAAATCATCATCAACAACAACAATAGTAACTATTAAGTATTTTCAGTTATCCTTCTGCTACTACAGTCATAGCCCAGTTCAATTAAACGCAGTGCCTTCTATGAGCAAATGATGGTGTGCAGTGCTACTGCTGGCACAACTGGGAATCCGTGTTAAAAATCTAAGTACATGGGGCCTCCCTGGTGGTGCAGGAGTTAAAGACACAGAGCTATCAAGCTATCACCAGCCACTGCAGCATGAATTTGATGCCTGGCTGGCCAGGGAGCTAATGCACATAGCACAGCAGATCTCTCCTGTCTGGCCCACCGCTCCCCTCAGCAGTGTATTTCAGTAGATCTGCCTGTTCTGCCTCTTACTCTGTCTCTGGTGAATCCTCTCACATCCCACACCTCTAGCTTACACTCCAGTTCTTGTATACATAAATAAATAAATCTTCAGCAAATATGAGAAAATTTTTGCTGGTATTATTAAATGGTTCAGTATATGTTCAAATCCGTACCACTCTTCATTGGTTATTGCAAATGTTTAGAATCTGTGTGTGTTTTCATTGTAAGTTAATTTTTGTCAAACTGAGGATAATTGTTTTGTCATAAAAACTTCTAAACCATTGGTCCTTCCTGGTGGCACAGGGGGTTAAGACACAACCTTTGGGGCCTCCCTGGTGGTGCAGGTGATTGACCGAAGTGCTGTGAAGCTGTCCGCAGCCTCTGCAGTGCCAGTTCGATCCCCGCCGGCCTCGGAGCAACCCACATGGCGAGCAGACCTCTCCTGTTTCACCTGCTGCTCCCCTCAGCAGTGTATTTCGTCAGTCTGCCTATTCTGTTTCCTGCTCTGTTTCTGGTGAATCCGCTCACCCTCCCATGCATCTGGCCTGTACCCCAGCTCTTGTATAAATAAAATAAATCTTAAAAAA